AGTCTGATGCATCCGTTGAAACGACAGTGGGCAAGTTAGGGTCAAACAATGCTAAAGCAGGGCTTTGGAGTAACAACTCCTTTACAGTACTGAAACTCTTCTGAGCCTCATCTGACCAACTGAACTCAGAACCTTGTCTAATGCAAGCACGCAATGGTTCTAATACTGTAGCGAAATTTGGAATAAATGTATTGTACCATGACAACAATCCAAGAAGGGAACGGAGCTGATGTGCATCTTTAGGAACAGGAGCATGAAGCATTGCACTAAGATGATCCTCATCTGGGTAAATACCCTGTGCAGATACATTATGACCAAGGAAGCGCAAACTGCTTTTATTAAAGTGACATTTTGAATCATTCAACTGTAAGCCTGCATCATGTATGCGCTGAATAACCACTTTGAGCATGTGGTCATGGTCCCTTTTTGTGTGTCCCCAGGTAATGACATTCAGATAATTGGCTACGTTTGGCAATCCTTGTAGAACAGTTGCTAGCATTTTCTGAAACGCAGATGGAGCTGAAGCAAGGCCATAAGGTACTCGACAGAATCTATAGTCCTTCATGGGTGATGAACGCAGTCAGATCACGACTTTCTTCATGTAACAAAAGCTGGAAATAAGCATTCTCTAGATCAATTGTAGAAAAGACCGTTGCTCCATGCAGCATAGACATCATCTCATCAATATGGGGCAAAGGATAACTGTCTGCAACAACAGCTTTATTTGGTTCTCGCAGGTCTACACACATGCGAATACCACCGTCTTCTTCTAAACCAACTACAATTGGAGAAATCCACGGTGATGCATCCACTCGTTCAATAACACCCAAGTCAAGAAGGCGTTGTAGTTCATTACTGACAGCATTTCGAACAGATCATGGCAACCGTCTAAGTTTCTGACGTACAGGTTTCACCTCTGAAGAAGTCTTTACCTTATGCACAAATCCTTTTGCACATCCTAGCTTAGTAACAGGCACAGAAGTAGAAAGTTGCATTACAGGAGCTGAAGACTGAGCCGATCCTGGAAGGATGGAAGAACCTTCAAACTTGAGATGCAATCCATTAATTAAATCCATTCCAAGAAGAGCAGTGCCACATTCAACTATAAAGATTGACGTATTACAGTTCATGTTATCTCTGGTAACAGTAACAGGTAGACAACCAAGCACTGGTATTGGATCTCTTGAATACGTCACTAACTTAACAGGAGGAGGCAGCAAAGAGTCTTGTTTAAAGTGTTTTTCATACACAGATTTTGGCAGAATGGAAACGGAAGATCCAGAATCCACAATCAACTCCACAGGTACAGAGGCTGATGCAGTCATGATAGTAGTAGTACACTTTATCTTATTAGATACCGAATCATGCATGTAAAGAATCTGAAGCTCAGTCAGTTCAATCTCATGTACAGAACGTGTTTGCTGTGAACGACACACTCTTGAAAAATGTCCCAACTTTTGACAATTATTGCACTTTACAGAAACTGCAGGACATCTGGAATCATTTGCAAGATGTTTTGTAGATCCACATCGATAACAACAATTGATTTGGTAAAGTATAGAATAGTCTCTGACCTTCTGTTCCCAGGCAATGAAGAAACAAAGCTTGCTTTATTGCAACTGGCCAGTCATCTCCTGAAGCATTTACGACAAGCAAGTAATTCTCAAACATCTTTAACCAGACACCACAAGGAATAGACGGCTCCCCCGGACATGGTAAGTATGGTGTAGGAAAAGCAGCATCAGCAGACATCTTTCTTGTAGGACAGCAAAACCCTCGTTTCCAATTTGTTATGTCTAAGTCCAGGTAATCAAGAAGACAAGAAAGTTTCTTACTTCTTTAAGGTTTATTCAAACCCACAAGCAATACAACACTGCCAGGCAGTTACATGATTAGGCAGCAGGTGCAACAACTTCCATTCTTACACTACACCTTTTATAGGTAACAGCATGTGGACTACAGCACCATCTCCTGACAAGTACCTAAACACAACAGCATGTTGTTGAGCGCGTTGTTGAGTGTTGACCGTGGTGTTAAGTGTTGAGCGTGGTGTTGAGAGTGTTTTGAGCATGTTGTTGAGTGTTGAGCGTGGTGTTGAGAGTGTTGAGCGCGGTGTTGAGCATGTTGTTGAGCGCGTTGTTGAGTGTTGACCGTGGTGTTGAGCGTGGTGTTGAGAGTGTTGAGCGTGGTGTTGAGAGTGTTGAGCGTGGTGTTGAGAGTGTTGAGCGTGGTGTTGAGAGTGTTTTGAGCACGTTGTTGAGTGTTGAGCGTGGTGTTGAGAGTGTTGAGCGCGGTGTTGAGCATGTTGTTGAGCGCGTTGTTGAGCGCGTTGTTGAGTGTTGACCGTGGTGTTGAGCGTGGTGTTGAGAGTGTTGAGCGTGGTGTTGAGAGTGTTGAACGTGGTGTTGAGAGTGTTTTGAGCACGTTGTTGAGTGTTGAGAGCGGTGTTGAGTGTTGAGCGTGGTGTTGAGCATGTTGTTGAGCGCGTTGTTGAGTGTTGAGCGTGGTGTTGAGAGTGTTTTGAGCGCGTTGTTAAGTGTTGAGAGCGGTGTTGAGCATGTTGTTGAGCGCGTTGTTGAGTGTTGAGCGTGGTGTTGAGAGTGTTTTGAGCGCGTTGTTGAGTGTTGAGCGTGGTGTTGAGAGTGTTTTGAGCGCGTTGTTAAGTGTTGAGAGCGGTGTTGAGCATGTTGTTGAGCGCGTTGTTGAGTGTTGAGTGTGGTGTTGAGAGTGTTTTGAGCGCGTTGTTGAGTGTTGAGCGTGGTGTTGAGAGTGTTTTGAGCGCGTTGTTAAGTGTTGAGAGCGGTGTTGAGCATGTTGTTGAGCGCGTTGTTGAGTGTTGACCGTGGTGTTGAGCGTGGTGTTGAGTGTTGAGCGTGGTGTTGAGAGTGTTGTTGAGTGTTGAGCGCGTTGTTGAGTGTTGAGCGTGGTGTTGAGCATGTTGTTGAGCGCGTTGTTGAGTGTTGAGCGTGGTGTTGAGATTGTTTTGAGCACGTTGTTGAGTGTTGAGCGTGGTGTTGAGAGTGTTTTGAGCGCGTTGTTAAGTGTTGAGAGCGGTGTTGAGCATGTTGTTGAGCGCGTTGTTGAGTGTTGACCGTGATGTTGAGCGTGGTGTTGAGAGTGTTTTGAGCATGTTGTTGAGTGTTGAGCGTGGTGTTGAGAGTGTTGAGCGCGGTGTTGAGCATGTTGTTGAGCGCGTTGTTGAGTGTTGACCGTGGTGTTGAGCGTGGTGTTGAGAGTGTTGAGCGTGGTGTTGAGAGTGTTGAGCGTGGTGTTGAGAGTGTTTTGAGCACGTTGTTGAGTGTTGAGCGTGGTGTTGAGTGTTGAGCGTGGTGTTGAGCATGTTGTTGAGCGCGGTGTTGAGAGTGTTTTGAGCGCGTTGTTAAGTGTTGAGAGCGGTGTTGAGCATGTTGTTGAGCGCGTTGTTGAGTGTTGAGCGTGGTGTTGAGAGTGTTTTGAGCGCGTTGTTAAGTGTTGAGAGCGGTGTTGAGCATGTTGTTGAGCGCGTTGTTGAGTGTTGAGCGTGGTGTTGAGCATGTTGTTGAGCGCGTTGTTGAGTGTTGAGCGTGGTGTTGAGTGTTGAGCGTGGTGTTGATAGTGTTGAGCGTGGTGTTGAGAGTGTTGAGCACGGTGTTGAGTGTTGAGCGTGGTGTTGAGAGTGTTGAGCGTGGTGTTGAGAGTGTTGAGCGTGGTGTTGAGAGTGTTGAGCGCGTTGTTAAGTGTTGAGAGCGGTGTTGAGCATGTTGTTGAGCGCGTTGTTGAGTGTTGAGCGTGGTGTTGAGAGTGTTGTTGAGTGTTGAGCGTGGTGTTGAGAGTGTTGAGCGCGTTGTTGAGTGTTGAGTGCGGTGTTGAGAGTGTTGAGCGTGGTGTTGAGAGTGTTGAGCGTGGTGTTGAGTGTTGAGCGTGGTGTTGAGAGTGTTGAGCGTGGTGTTGAGAGTGTTGAGCGTGGTGTTGAGAGTATTGAGCGTGGTGTTGAGCGTGGTGTTGAGCGTGGTGTTGAGCGTGGTGTTGAGCGTGGTGTTGAGCGTGGTGTTGAGCGTGGTGTTGAGTGTTGAGCGTGGTGTTGAGTGTTGAGCGTGGTGTTGAGTGTTGAGCGTGGTGTTGAGAGTGTTGAGCGTGGTGTTGAGAGTGTTGAGCGTGTTGTTGAGTGTTGAGCGTGGTGTTGAGTGTTGAGCGTGGTGTTGAGTGTTGAGCGTGGTGTTGAGAGTGTTGAGCGTGGTGTTGAGAGTGTTGAGCGTGGTGTTGAGTGTTGAGCGTGGTGTTGAGAGTGTTGAGCGTGGTGTTGAGAGTGTTGAGCGTGGTGTTGAGAGTGTTGAGCGCGTTGTTAAGTGTTGAGAGCGGTGTTGAGCATGTTGTTGAGCGCGTTGTTGAGTGTTGAGCGTGGTGTTGAGAGTGTTGTTGAGTGTTGAGCGTGGTGTTGAGAGTGTTGAGCGCGTTGTTGAGTGTTGAGTGCGGTGTTGAGAGTGTTGTTGAGTGTTGAGAGTGTTGTTGAGTGTTGAGCGCGTTGTTAAGTGTTAAGAGCGGTGTTGAGCATGTTGTTGAGCGCGTTGTTGAGTGTTGAGCGTGGTGTTGAGCATGTTGTTGAGTGTTGAGCGTGGTGTTGAGAGTGTTGTTGAGTGTTGAGAGTGTTGTTGAGTGTTGAGCGCGTTGTTAAGTGTTGAGAGCGGTGTTGAGCATGTTGTTGAGCGCGTTGTTGAGTGTTGAGCGTGGTGTTGAGCATGTTGTTGAGTGTTGAGCGTGGTGTTGAGAGTGTTGAGCGCGTTGTTGAGTGTTGAGCGTGGTGTTGAGCATGTTGTTGAGTGTTGAGCGTGGTGTTGAGAGTGTTGAGCGCGGTGTTGAGCACGTTGTTGAGTGTTGAGCGCGTTGTTGAGTGTTGAGCGCGTTGTTGAGTGTTGAGCGCGTTGTTGAGTGTTGAGCACGTTGTTGAGCATGTTGTTGAGCGCATTGTTGAGAGTGTTTTGAGCGTGGTGTTGAGCGCGTTGAGCGTGGTGTCGAAGTCTCACCTGAGGCCGTCTGGAGTGTGACGCCAGCTGGAATCTGGACCGGATACGTTATTCCAGGCGGCAGAGAGAATGTGGCAACAGAACCACAGCTGTTCTAAAAGTCATGGAAAACACGTTTTCATTTCACATTCACAATTTCAAAAGAGCTTTAACTTAGAAGATCAACATTAACAGGAGTTTCATAAAGGGAACTTTATTGTATGTGATGCATATTAAGATTAAATAATTGGACAGATAATTTAAGACGTTACAATGCTGCTTAATGAACACAGACGACCTTACTATATTAAACAGCTGTGAAAGTGGATTTAAATCAAATTAGTGGAAAAAGAAATGTACAGGTATTCTGGCAATGGCCATACATTTTTAAGCGATGAGGACAGTGTTTGTTGACTTACTGTTTTGGAGGTGAAGTTCTGCACATTCTGAGCAGCTGGAATGACGACTGAGAAAAGAGGAAAACATCAAGCACACAACCAGAGAAAACAGCGAAAGTGTCCTAAACGAAGTGGACTTAAGTGTGAGTAAGAGCATGCGGTGAGACGTGACAGTGCTCGTGATCGGAGACTGAGAACACACTGAAGCGTCAGTCGCATCACGACGTCCCTCGGCTCTGACGCCTCAAAGCACTGCTCACAGAAATCATTTTACACTTTTCCTGAGTCCAGGGTATTGCTTCAGTTGTTAGCAATGGAATTGCCACTTTATTAAAATGAGTTAAAAAACTTTGAGTAAAATAGATATTAATGTGGAAAAAATGGCTAGGGGGAACATTTCGTTGGCCATGAGTCTAGCAGGTAAGCAACCAGACAAAAAATAACTAAAGAGCTGGACAGCCGTCATCATCATCAACAAAACACTCTGGTGGTCAGACGAGCTGACAGTGCGTTTTCACTGCTGTGAAGTGGGCGTTTCCAGATCCTTCTGTTGAGAGCTGAGCAACACTCTCGCTGGAGGATTGTGGGATTGACGACGGATCTGAGCATTGCAGTGACGTTTGTCATAAGCATTAAACATGAGTTTATGCTGGATTTAGTGCGTCTGTACATATTGGATGCTTTCATTTTGCTTTCCAACTGTTATTATTTGTGTATACATGTTGGTTGCACTGGCTGTGCACTGAAAAAACTGATTTAACGCACAATGGCAAGCCATTTTAGTTCACAATCTTCCCAGCGTTACTCGCCGTAATCACATTTTTTGTAGATTTTTGCAGAATTATTTTGTAGAATCACATGTTGTAGAGCTCTCTTTTTAGCACCACCTCATTAGTAATACTATTTTTGGATGTTTATTAAAATCATATTAAAATCATTATGCTTTATAGAGAAGAAATATAGGAAGGATACGTACTGCAAGTTCTTTTTAAAGTTAAATTCACACTCACTCAGAAATGATAAATATACCCAGTGATATGCTTATTTATTAATTGGTTGTAAAATACTTTTTTTGTTATAAAATCAAATTTGTTTTATTTGCATTATCCACTCACAAAATAATGCAGAGGCAATTTAGGAAAGGGGTGTGCAATATTTATCATGTATGATAGTGTAATTGTTTTATTAATGATATACAAGCCGACTTTATCGAGGATGTCATTGACTTTGCAAAAAAAAAAACAAGAACACGACTTGATAAAATATATATATATATATATATATATATAACATAATACGGTTATACAATACAATACAATTTTATTTGTATAGCACATTTAAAACAACTAGCGTTGACCAAAGTGCTTAACAAGGCAATACAAAGGTAGACAAAAACATGCACATAACAAACAGATACACGTCGAGGAGGAAAGACGGACACATCAAGGTACGTTAAAAGCAAGTGAAAAAAGGTACGTTTTCAGAGAAGTTTTAAATAATGTCAGAGTTTGGACAGATCTGATATTTGTGGGTAGGCTATTCCATAATTTGGGTCCATAAGCTGCGAAAGCACGGTCACCCCTGTTTTTTAATCTGGTCCTGGGGACAGAGAGTAAATTTGATTCCCCCGATCTTAGTGATCTTGACTTCAATTTTGGGTGAAGCAGTTCAGATAAGTACTGGGGAGCTATGTTTTGTAAAGATTTAAAAACAAAAAGCAAAACTTTAAAATCTATTCGAAATTTAATCGGTAGCCAGTGTAGCGAGATCAGAACCGGAGTAATATGGTCAAATTTACGTTTTCCTTTGAGAAGGCGTGCAGCTGCATTTTGGACTAATTGGAGACGGGAGATATGTTTCTGAGAAACTCCAATATATAAAGAATTACAATAGTCCAATCTGGATGTTATAAATGCATGCATGGCTATCTCAAAGTGTTTACCAGACAAAAACGGCTTAACCTTAGCTAAGAGACGAAGATGAAAAAAGCAGGATTTTACCACAGCACTTATCTGCTTTTCAAGGTTAATGTTGTTATCAATCCAGACGCCCAGATTACGAGTACAGGTGGTACTGAAAGGTGACAATGTTAGAAGGTCACAAACATGTGTACTACGATCACTGGGGCCGAACAGGATAATTTCTGTCTTGTTTTCATTTAAACTCAAGAAGTTATCAGTAAGCCATAGTTTCAGTTCATCTATACAGTCCAGTAGTGGCTTTAAGGCAGACTTGTCATTAGGTTTTAGGGGCAAGTAAATTTGAGTATCATCAGCATATAGGTGATAAGAAACCCCATGTTTAGTTAAAATAGAACCCAGAGGTAACATGTACAGATTAAATAATTCTGGCCCAAGGATAGAACCCTGCGGAACGCCAGACCCAAATTTCATTTTAGATGAGCACTGTTTCCCGATACGAACAGAATAACTTCTGTTAAGCAAGTATGAGCGGAACCACTCCAACACCATGCCCCTAAGACCTGTGGATACTTCAAGACGAGTGATTAAAATATCATGGTCGACAAGGTCAAAAGCAGAGCTGAGGTCCAGCAGGACCAGAGCCACAGATTGCCCTGTATCAGTACTGAGTAAAATGTCATTCATGACTCGCAGAAGTGCAGATTCGGTACTGTGACGTAGTTTAAAACCAGACTGAAATTTCTCGTAGATCAGACTATCAGTCAAGAAGGACTGGAGTTGGCTCAAAACCACTTTTTCTAAAATTTTTGAAATAAAAGGTAAGTTTGAGATTGGGCGATAGTTGCTTAAAATTGATTGATCCAAACTAGATCTCTTAAGTTTCGGCAAGACCGAGGCGTGTTTCAGGCTGTTAGGAACAACCCCAGTACAGAGACATTTGTTGATAAAAGACAACAAATCCGAACCGATAGTACATAGAACCTGCTTAAAATTTTTTGTAGGAATCACATCTTGAAAGCAGCTAGTAGTTTTTAAAGTTGAAACAATCTCAACCAAAGAGTCAAGGGAAACAGGTTCAAAGACAGACCATGTAGAAGAACATATAGGAACTTCAAGTGGCATATAGGTAGACAGTGACATTTGAGATCTAATCATTGAGATCTTCTCATTAAAATATGATGCAAAATCTTCGCAGAGAGAATCAGAAATCTCTGGGAGTAGGTTTGTAGTGGGATTTAGTGCAGAATCAATTATTGAAAATAAAACATTGGGCCTGTTACTGTTGATTTTAATCAGCTCAGAAAAATAGTGATTTTTAGCAGCTTTAGCAGCTTGCTGGAATGCAGCAAGGGAATTTTTTAAAATTTCAAAAGAAACATGTAGTCTGTCCTTATTCCACCTGCGTTCAGCCCTTCTACAGGTCTGTCTGAGTGAACGAACATTATCATTAAGCCATGGTTTTGAAATATGATTACATTTCTTTTTCTTTACCCTGATTGGAGCAACAGCATTTAAAACATTGGAGCAGACAGAGTTAAAAAGATTCAAGTGTTCTTCAGCATCCAAGGAACTCAGTGATGGAACAGTGGCTTGTTCCACAACTAAACCTGAGTATAATGCCACAAAGGCCTCCTTAGCACAATCACCAAAGATTCGAGTTGTCCGTGTGCAAGGATGCAGTTTATGTCTGGTATCATTGATAGGTAAAGAAAACAGGATCGGAAAGTGATCCGACATAGCAGTATTATTGATACTAATATCTGATACCTGTAAACCCCGTGATAGGATTAAATCTAGAGTATGTCCCTGGATATGAGTGTGGCCAGACACCCTTTGATCCAGGTCGAAAGAGGCAATAAGACTCCGAAACTCTTTAGAAAGTGGCTTAGTATCACAGCACACATGAATATTAAAATCACCCAGGATTAGAATTCTGTCAAATCTGGTAACCAAATCCCCCACAAACTCAGCAAATTCATTTAAAAAATCCTTATTTGGTTGAGGCGGACGATAAACCAAGGCAAATACCTGGGAATTAGTTGATGTAGGTTGGACCAGCTGAACTTCAAAAGTACAGCAAGGGCTATTTGTTAGACCACGGCAGGGATATTGTTTTTTAAACAGTGACGCTAATCCCCCTCCACGGCCAGATAGCCGCGGTGAGTTTAGGAAAGCGCAGTCCTGTGGAACTAATTCAGTGAAAGGACTTAGCTCATCCGGTTTAATCCATGTCTCAGTGATAAATAAGATATCCAGATCCTGCGTCGTGAAGAAATTGTTTATTAAAAATGTCTTGTTCACCACTGACCGGGCGTTGATCAGGGCCACTTTAAGAGATGGTGCAGCTACCTCCAGCTGTGATGTTCGAGTTAGCAAGCGAAGATTATGTTGATTCACTCCACAACGTCGAAAGCGGGGGAGGATGATGCACGATGGGTCGGACGAAAAACATCCAACAGCGGGGCGAAGCCACCGATAAGAGGGGAAGGACCATGCAAAAGCTCCGGCGAGACGGCGCTCACTGGTTAGCACAGGACCAACACACACAGCCGAAGACCGCGCCAGAGACTTCAAACGAGCAGCAACTCCACCCCGCTTGCCACGCTTTCTCCGACGCCGTCGTCTCCAGGGAAGATCGGCGGGATACCAACACTGTTGTACAAGAAGGTGCTGGTACTCAGGTGGAAGAGATCGGCAGCACTCTTCAACAACATTACTCTTGATTGGAGCAATAGCCATACGGATGTTTAGCAATGTTTGACGATCATATACAAATGACGTATTACAGTACGAGGTTAGTAGCGAAAAACATAAAAACAAACATAAAAACACGATTTTTAGGAGTGAGAAAGAGGGCAATAGACGGCAGGCCACATACAACGGCGCCATCTTGAAAAGGTTATGTAATATCACACAAGCAAGAGTGCTGTTTAATATCAGTGCATCAGTGTGATCACGAGTGTGATATTGACAGCTTTGGGAGGGTTACTTTTAAAATGTATTCCGTTACAGTTATAAATTACTTTATAAAAAAAAAAAAGTATTCAGCAACAAAACAAGCACCACAATATGAAAGTAATGTAATTGATTACTTTTGGATTCCTTTAAGGTCACATATGTAAATAAAGTCAGGTAAAAAACAATAT